TCTCTCTTCTTCTTCTGGTACCCCTATAATACGGATATTGTTCCTTTTGGATTGGTCACACAGTTCTCTTAATATTGTTTCATTCCTGGAGATCCTTTTATCTCTCTCTGTGTCAGCTTCTATGCGTTCCTGTTCTCTGGTTTCTGTTCCATCAATGGCCTCTTGCATCTTATCCATTCTGCTTATAAATCCTTCCAGAGTTTGTTTCACTTTTGTAATCTCCTTCTGGGCATCTGTAATCTCCCTCCGGACTTCATCCCTTAGCTCTTGTATATTTCTCTGCATCTCCGTCAGCATGTTTATGATTTTTATTTTGAATTATTTTTCAGGAAGATTGGTTAGGTCTGTCTCCTTCTCAGGTGTTGTCTCTGTTATCTTGGTCTGCCTGTAATTTTTCCTTTTCATGGTGATAGGAATAGTTTGCAGAGCTGGCACGAGTGATGGCTGGAAGAACTTCCCTTCTTGTTGATTTGTGGCCTTCCTCTCCTGGGATAATAGCGACCTCTAGTGGCTTGTGCTGGGAAGCTGTGCGCAGATGTGACTTCTGATTCTTGCCCGGCTGCTATGGAGTTTATCTCCACTTTTGCTGTGGGCCTGCCCTGCCTAGGGCTGCTAATCCAATATGGTGGAGCTGCGTTGGGGGGGCAACGGCTGGGAGGCTATTTATCTCCATGAGGGGCCTCTGTGCTCCCTGCTGCCCAGGGGGTTAGAGTGCCCAGAGTTCCCCAGATTCCCTGCTGCTGCACTAAGTGTCCCAGGACTCTTCCGTCCGGCAGTGGGGTCCCTGTCCCTATAAGACTTCCAAAAAGCACTCACTTTTCTTTGTCCCCAGGGTGCCGGCTGCGGGGACCCACTCACAGTTCTTACTGCCCTGTTTTCCTATTATCCAGGAACCCACGCATGCACTGTTTCTGTGCTCTGTTGCGGATGGCTAGGGCTGGCTATTTAGCAGTCCTGGGCTCCCTCTCCCTCCCCGCTCCGACTCCTCTCCTCCCGCCTGGAGCTGGGGTGTGGGACGCTCGTGTACTGCCAGGCCGTGGTTTGTATCTTACCCCGTTCGCGATGCGCTGGGTTCTCACAGGTGTGGATGTGGTCTGGCTGTTGTCCTGTGTCTTCTGGGCTCTCTTTTAGGAAGAGTTGTCTTTGTTGTATTTTCAAAAATATATGTGGTTTTGGAAGGAGATTTCCGCTGCTCTACTCACACTGCCATCTTGGCTCTGCCCCCTAGTAATTCTTTTAAAAGCAAGTAGCCCAATTCTTCTTCCAATCTTGTTCTTTCTCAGAAATGGTCTTTTAGCTAAGCTAAATTTTATTTCCATGAAAATATTAGAATTAGCTTATACACTGCTACAAGAAATCTGTTGGGATTTTGACTGGATTGTGTTGAAATCTGTAGGTCAATCTGGGAAGAACAGATGTCTTAACAAAATTGTATCTTCTAAGCCATAAACATGATTTATTTAGTCTTCTTTAATTTCTCAGGGCTGAGTTTTATAGATTTCCTTATTCACAGTGCTACTACAGTTGGTAGTTTTATTTTTATTTTCTTGCTGCATAAAGCTTTATTGTTTCCATTTGGTCCATGGCTTGGGAAAGGGTTCCAGGGTGGTTAAAAAACTGTCTACACAGGTTCAATGCAATGCCTATCACAATACCAACAACATTCTTCAACGAACTGGAATAAATAGTTTTAAAATTCATATGGAACCACAAAAGACCCCGAATAGCCAAAACAATTCTGAGAAGGAAGAATAAAGCAGGGGGCATCTCACTTACCAACTTCAAGCTCTACTACAAAGCCACAGTAATCAAGACAATTTGGTACTGGCACAAGAACAGACCCACAGACCAGTGGAACAGAATAGAGAGTCCAGATATTAACCCAAACATATATGGTCCATTAATATATGATAAAAGAGCCATGGACATACAATGGGGAAATGACAGCCTCTTCAACAGCTGGTGTTGGCAAAACTGGACAGCTACATGTAAGAGAATGAAACTGGATTATTGTCTAACACCATACACAAAAGTAAATTTGAAATGCATCAAAGACCTGAATGTAAGTCATGAAACCATAAAACTCTTAGGAAAAAACATAGGCAAAAATCTCTTGGAAATGAACATGAGCAACTTCTTCATGAACATATCTCCCCAGGCAAGGGAAACAAAAGCAAAAATGAACAAGTGGGACTATATCAAGCTGAAAAGCTTCTGTACAGCAAAGGACACCACCAATAGAACAAAAGGCATCCTACAGTATGGGAGAATATATTCATAAATGATAGATCTGATAAAGGGTTGACATCAAAAATATATAAAGAGCTCACGCACCTCAACAAACAAAAAGCAAATAATCCAATTAAAAAATGGGCAGAGGATCTGAACAGATAGTTCTCCAAAGAAAAGATTCAGATGGCCAACAGACACATGAAAAGATTCTCCACATCGCTAGTCATCAGAGAAATGCAAATTAAAACCACAATGAGATATCACCTCATACCAGTAAGGATCACCACCATCCAAAAGACAACAAACAACAAATGTTGACGAGGTTGCGGAGAAAGGGGAACCCTCCTACACTGCTGGTGGGAATGTAAACTAGTTCAACCATTGTGGAAAGCAGTATGGAGGTTCCTCAAAAAGCTCAAAATCGAAATACCATTTGACCCAGGAATTCCACTTCTAGGAATTTACCCTAAGAATGCAGCAGCCCAGTTTGAAAAAGACAGATGCACCCCTATGTTTATCACAGCACTATTTACAATAGCCAAGAAATGGAAGCAACCTAAGTGTCCATCAGTAGATCAATGGATAAAAGAAGATTTGGTACATATATACAATGGAATATTATTCAGCTATAAGAAGAAAACAAATCGTACCATTTGCAACAACATAGATGTAGCTGGAGGGCATTATGCTCAGTGAAATAAGCCAGGTGGAGAAAGACAAGCATCAAATGATTTCACTCATATGTGGAGTATAAGAACAAAGGAAAACCTGAAGGAACAAAACAGCAGCAGAATCACAGAACCCAAGAATGGACTAATAGTTACCAAAGGGAAAGGGACTGGGGACAATGGGTGGGAAGGGAGGGATAAGTGGTGGGAAAGAAAGGGGACATTATGATTAGCATGTACAATGTGAGGGGGCATGGGGAGGGCTGTGTAACACAGAGAAGACAAGTGGTGATTCTACAGCATCTTACTACAGTGATGGACAGTGACTGTAATGGGGTTTGTAGGGGGGACTTGGTGAAGGGAGGAGTCTAGTAAACATGTTCCTCATGTAATTGTAGATTAATGATACCAAAAAAAAAAGCTGTCTAGTGGCTGTAAGGAAAGGCTCAGGCAGATGCCCTGACTCCTGGGGGATGCCAGAGGGTCCCCTCAATGGCTGCTGGGCTGCAGAGGCTCCTAGTCGTGCTTGAGGGTGAACCTTTTGAAATGATACTCGCCCAGGGCAGCCCCGGCCTGCCGCCTGCGGAGATTGGTCAGGTGGTCTTCCATCTTCTTGATGAGTTTCACCTCCTCATCTAGGAAGTGGTTCTCCAGGAAGTCACAGGGTTGGGGGTCTGAGCGCTTACAACCCAGGGTATGCAGATCCAAGAGGGCCTGGTTCCGTTTCTTCAGGACTATGGCAACTTCCATGGCATCTAGGGTTTTACCCCGCTCATCTTGGGACAGCTTCTGCATGTCCTGGAAGAGGGCGCAGCCGCCACGCTTGTTTTGCATCTTCAAGAGACGCTCGGCACCTTCACACTTCTCCTGGGCCAATTTGCGGAAGACGTGGCCTCCGCTCTACAGAGCCACATCATCATGCTCAAAATAGAAACTCAGAGAGAGGTAGTTGTAGGAGACCCACAGATACAGGTCGACCAGGCAGTTGACAGTGGTCTCCACTTCGGCAGAATAGTTCTGACGAAACTGGGAGCTCACAGTTGATAAGCAGTAAGGAGTTAAACTCAAAACAGTTTTTGTTGGTCCCTGTGACAGAGGATAACTGAGAAGATGGTTCCGAAGGTGGCGACTGGAAAAGAGATTGGAGGACAGTCGGAGGAGACTGGTAGAAGAGGCGTCCGTGGCTTTGTCTGGCCAAACACGTTGAAGGAAGAGACAGATCCATGGGAGCATTGGGCGCACTGTGTGCTTGGTAGTTCTAAATTTCAACTTCAAATAATTTGTTCCTTATCTGAAGAAATTTAATTGATTTTTGCATATTGACTTTGCAGCATGAACATTCTGAATTCACGTATCATTCTAGTCATTTGTTTGTGGATGTTCATAATCATGTCATCTACGAAAAATTATTTTTAATTCTTTCTTTCTAATTTCCATGCTTTCATTTCATTTTCTTGCCTCAAAATGTTGCCTCAGACCTCCAGTACAATGGTGATTGAAGTGGTGAGAACAGACATCCTTTCTCTGTTCTGATCTTAGAGTGAAAGCATTCAGTCCTTTAACCATTAAGTATAATGTTTGCTGTGGGGTTTTTATTAGATGCTTTTTATCTTTTTGAGGGTAATCTTTTCTAGTCCTTGTCAGCTCAGAGTGTTGGGCATGAATGACTGTTGAAATTTATCAAATTTATCAAAGCTTTTTCTGCATCTATTGAGAAAATCATTTAGTTTTTTTCCCCTTTATTTTGTTATTGTGGTAAATTATATTGATTTCTCAAATGTTAAATTAATTTTGTATTACTGAGAAAAATCCTATTGGTCATGGTTTATTATCCTTTTAATATATTACTGTATTTGGTTTGTTGACTTTCTGTTAGATTGTTATATCTACTTTCATAAAGAATGTTGGTTTATTTTTCATTTCTTTCAGTGTTTTTATGTGATAGTGATATCAGAGTATTGCTAGCCTTATAAAATAAGTTAGGAAGTGTTTTCTAGTTTCTGGAACAATTTGTTTAAGATTGGGATTATTTCTTTTTTGAATATTCAGTCAAATTCACTAGTGAAGCTTTCTGGATTTGGAGTTTGATGGGGAGGAAGCTTTTTAAATGAAATTTCAGTTTCTCTGATAAATATGGATACATATTATTGAGTGAGATTTGTGAGTTTGTGTCCTTTAGGAGGTTTGTTCATTTAATCCAAGAGGCCAAATTAATTGGCATAAATTGTTTTGATACTCCCTTATTGACCTTTTAATGTTTTAGCTGTAGTAGTGATCTTCCCTGTTTTATTTCTGATATTGATAATTTATATCTTTTCTCTTTCCTTTTGATCAGATTTATCAATTTTATTGATACATTGAAAGAACCATCTTTTGGTATCATTGAATTCTTCTTTCTTTTAGGTTTTCTGTTTATTTGATTTTATTTATTTTCCAGTTCCATTCAGTTTTTTAAAAAAGCCTTGTAAGGGAAGGTCCACAGTAGCTTTTACTTTAGGGATAGTTTAGCTCCGCTGTTAAGATGTGGCCCTTCTGGATTGTCCACTGAATGCCCGGAGTGATCAGTAAGGATTCTCCGCTCTGGCTTGTTGGAACTCAGATGCCTCACGTGTGACCTGTGGTGACTGATCAGCTCACAACTTCGTGGTTGCACTTAGCTGTGTCTTAAAAAGTTTCAGTGTACCCATGTAGATTTTATTATTCAACTGTTAGTAAAGGGAACCCCTTGGAAAATTTCTGAAGCTCTTTATTTCAGCTAGCTACTCTCCAGAACTCTGCCCTGAAACTCCCACTTGCCTCAGGCTCCCTGAATTCGAACTCTTTTCAATCCACTGGGCCCCCTGTGCTCTGTTTTTGATCACCCTCCCTACTTTGTGGTCCAGAATGTTTTACCAGCTAGAAAGCCAGGGAGATTGTAGGATCCATCTCATTTGCTGCCCTTCACTCAGAAACCACAGTTCAATGAGGCCTATTGTTAAATATCTAAAAACAGTTTTATATATTTTGTCCTGTTTCTATGGTGGAAAGGTAACTGGTTCCCAAAGTCCATCATGGCCAGAAGCAAAATCTTGAGACTTCTTTTTAGGCTTTGCTAGCTTGGATCTAGAATATCTGTTACTATTAGGCGAGTTTTTCCTACCTACCACTACAGATAGAACTTCCTGGGTTCACTACCAAATTTCTAGAGTGTTTCAAGGAGGTCTTTTTACTCTAGCTGGTCAGACCTCGAATGTCGTCCAGCCTGTGTGAATTCTGGAGTGTGTTTATAGCCCTTCAGTAATTGTTTGCTGACACTAGCTGTTCTCTGCCACACCTCACGGAGTGTCTCCCTACGCATGCACAGTATGGTACTCAGTGAATCTTAGAACCTCTCTGTAAACTGATGTCTTTCTCCTCAACTCAGTGAGACAACCATGCTCTGCTTGGGATCCTCCTCCCTGTGTTACAGGCCAGAAAATGCCCCCATGAAAAAACAACAACAACAACTACAAAAAACGGGGAGGATCATAGAGCCACCTTTCAGCTAGTACAGTTTTGACCTACCTGTTGTCTAATATCTGAAATAGCTATTTCACATGTGTGTTTCCTGCTTTTAGTTATTTATGGCAGAAGGGAAAGTGCCACAGCAGTTATTTTTATCATGACAGGAAGCCCACTAGTCTATTTTTATTTCATTTTTTAATGAATTGAGGTTTCTAATCAAATGGGGTCAATATATAGTTTATAACTTCCATTCTCTCTTTTTAATTATGATCTAGTTTAAAAGCAAGATTTTTTTCCCCTCTGAGTCACTGGGGAAAGAAACACAGTTTCACTCTAATTGATATTCATCACCAAGAAAAAAGAATGTGTCCAGAACATTGGGCTGGTTATTTTGTCTGCATAGGTATGTAAGAAAAGGGAAATTATAGGATGCTTCAAAATATTCTCAATTCATTGGTAAAAAAAAAAAACCCACTCATTTTCTGAGAACGTTTCTCCAGATATATAAAACATTTTATGGAGAACAGGAGGAAAAGAGACGAGAATAAATAAAGCTGAGGTTAATTAAAAAATTAGTGCTGGAAATCTTTCAAGATTTTACTGGTCTCAAATGTTCTTTTGTGATTTGGCTGTATTCTCTGAGAAAATAAGAGCTGTGTAACCAGTTAAGTTTAATGTTTTGCCTTGAATGCCAGGAAGTGCAAGTTGGAATTTATTGTTCAATTATAGTAAATATATCATTTTTAGTTTCTGGTAAAATGAACTACCAATTTGCTCTCTGTACTTAACAAATATCAGGTATTATTATTTTAAACTGCTTACATTTACATTTTAAACTGCTTCACTTGCTTATTTTGAATTATGAGAGAGACAGTAGAGCTCAATAATAAAAAAATAATAAATGTTAAGAGATATATAAAATGAGACATGCCTTTGGGTTTGCTAACAGGGAGGAAAGATTTTACATTTGATCATTTATTTATCCAAATGTCTATACTCACTCTTTCTCCCTCTGCCGTTTTCAGATAGTCATCAACCCACTCTTAAGTTTGGAGCTTAGCACTCTGCTAAACATGCTTTAGAAGAGGTCCCCACTGAACTTGATGTTGCAATATCCAACACACACTTTGGAGACCTTATTTTAGTAGACCTCTCAGCAGTGTTTAAGGCTGTTGACCACACTACTTCTTTTTGAAACTCTACTTCCTTGACTTCTAAAATACGACTCTCCTGGCTCGGCTAGTTTAAATTCTGACAGCTTCTTTGCTATGTATTCTTCAGAGCCTTTAGTGGCTGACTGAACTGGTTTGTCCGACTCATCTTGGTTGACTTTTCTTCTGCATGTACAAACTCTCTGACTGATCACATTCTTAGCCATATGCAAAAGGTTCTCAGAGGGAATAGTGCAGACTTCTTTCCTGAGATCCAGATCCATACATAGTAGAATAAAAGTTTTCACATGGGAGTATCTGCAGACTTCTCTCATTCACCAGCCCTCCAGAGAGAATCTGAGAATAGTCATCTGTTTATCCTTCTCTCAGTATCCTAAAAAGCAATGACTGTTTCTTGCTGGAAGAGAGGCTGTTTTTCTACATAATAAAATTTTGAGAGCTGGAGATGAGAAAGGCAGAAAGGTGAAAAGGCTGGGGGAAGAAAAACTGCTGTCTCCACCTTGGAGATGGCATGACACGAGGGCCTTAGGGGCTTTGGGATGTATGGCTGGTTGATTAGAGAGGAAAGAGGATATAAATAAGGATTGCTGAAGATTGTACATTGGGATGTCCCATAAAGTCTTTAAAGAAAAGTGACTAAATTAGTTTTGGCTATTAAATAATGATTCTTGAAATCCCACTTCATACAGAGACTGAGCCACATGCCTTTCCCCTGTAAAGATTTATCATGATTAAATGTATTAATATCTCACAGCTAGTGGATTCCCTATGGGCATCTCAGATACAATATGCCTAAAATTGAACTTGTCCAAAACTTATAATCCAAACTGAACTCAGTAGCATGGTTAAAGTGGTTAAGAGCATGGATTCTAGAGATGAACTCACTGAATTTGAAGCTTATCTTAATCACTTAGAATCTAGATGACCCTGGGAATATTTCTGAATCCATCTATGCTCCAATTTTATCTATGTAAGAGAGATTTTACAAGTATATACTGAAGAGGATTGTTATGATTAAAAGAGTTAATATTTCTAAAGCACTTAAAGCAGTATCTGATGCTTACTAAATAATCAGTGTATTAAATGAGTAAAACACCAATCTTCGTCCTATCCCTCACCCTCACCTATCCCTCACACAACTACTAAATGGGGCATATGGAACTTACCTTGTGAACTTCAGGTTTGGTGAAAAAGAAAATCAGAACCAAGGTCACACAGCAAGTTCATCTGGTGAGGGATAGAAGACACCCTCTTGTCTTCTTCCAGTGATCACTATCACCATGTGTGAAACCACCCTGTGTTCAAGAGCCTGTGTCATGCCTTCACTTCTCCTCCCTCATTTCTTACCTCCCATTGTCTGTCAGGTATTGTTAATTATGTGTCCCCAGTATTATCTCCTATCCTCTTAAACTGCCAGAAAAATAAGTCATGATTTATGTGCTGGACACTAGGGATATAAGAATGAACAGGTAGGCAAGAACCTCGCTTCTCATGCTATCTGTTTTAAAAGAAAAAGGCATTGAACAAATAATTACAAATGGTAGTATGGCTATAAAGATGGTCACTTGGTCCCTTGAG